TGAAGGGTATTATTAAGGGAGAAAGGGGGAAAATGGGGGCACCTTAATTGGGGAAACCATGATGGAGGGGTGAGACAATGCGAGCGATAAATAATGCCTAATTAGTTTTAAAAATCAGAGGGAACCATATTACTCCAACAACCAACTGACAAATTATACATACCAGATCAAGAAATATGTCTAGGTAAGGTTTATCTGAGAACAATTGGTCTTTGCCTAAGCTACATGACACACAGTAATTAAAAATGCAAGAATGGTGGAACTAACCTTCTTGGATGTTTAACAGACATACATTGAGGCCTATAATAATTTGGTCAGAGGGACATAAAGGACAGTTTTTGCTCCTTGCCCTCCTAGGTCGACTAGTTCCAGGGGACTATGAGCATCTCTCAAAATGTCCTGTAATTGTGGTGCATCACCTGTCCTCTTGATCAAGGAGGCCGAGGAGACCTTACGAGATGGACTTGAACCAGTGTCCAGTCTACACAGAGGAATCACTTCCTCCATGCTTCCAAGCGAAGCCAGCCATGGTCGAGCAGGACCTTTGACTTAACCTTCATATAGGCGGAACTGGTAAAAGAAAGGAGCCAGGGGCTCCTACCAAGCCCATGTGACCCTTGAGGCACAGATCCTCAAACGACCTTTAGAGTAAAAATAAATTGGTTTATGTGGGCCAACTGTATGGCCTTAATAACCCAAAAGGAAAGTATAACCAAAGATTAAAGGGGCCAATATAATTTTTATGAGTCCATATGTATAGCTAAAGGCTATATAACAAGCAACAATGCCAGATAGGAGATTTTTTTTGGCCAGGGTGGCCAAAGGGAGTCCCAGATAGTAACCCAGCATAGAACTGGGAAAATGAACAGCAGACCCCAATCTTATCCAAAGGAATATAGAATATAGATAACTGATTATCACTAGATGAAAAACAGCTGATCCTCCTAAAACAAAGACCTCTGGATAGGTTGAGTTGAGTCACCAGAAGGGCAAGTAGTGGGGAATGGCTGGGGGTGCTGACAACACAGCAGACACTAGCAGGGATATCAGTGTATAAGGGCTCTAGTCGGGGGAGGGAGGCTCTGGGAGGGTACCATCTGGGAAGCGGGTGTATAGTTGAATAAGATGGTTTGGGATGTTCTGTGTGATACACAAACACACACACACACACACAAATCAACAAAAATTTTAAAGTGTATTATATTTTAGGAGGAAGCATGGAAATTTATGTCATATTAATTAGTAGAGGTGATAAACATTACCATTGAAATCTACCATTGAAATGACTTTATAGACATACACAGGCACCAAGGATCCTAGTGCAACCGATTATGACTAGTAATAATCAGATACCCACAGATTTAGAGATGCATGCGCCAACATCTCAGTGTTAGTAGCAAAAACAATGAGTCTTTCTGCAAGGAACAATATA